TTTTAATGTTACCCAATGTATTTCTCCTCTTTTTTATGGGATATGCTTTTTGTAACTTGTTTACAAAGGCTTTGCCGACACATAGGTTCAGATATATTCTGCTCTGTTTTTCTATAATAGTTTTAGTTTTTGCTTTTTAAAATTCTCATATCCACCTGAATTTTATTTTGAAAATAAATATGAACATGGTTTTACTTTTGCACATTTATTCCGAAACCATTTATTGGATCTTTTCGCCATTGGTTTGTGATGCAGCTTCTGCCATTTTTCAGGTCCCAGTGTTTACTTGGATCTGCTTCCAGTCTTGGCACTATTCAGCTGTTTAATCTTTCTGCTACTCTGTTTTAATCACAGTAGCTCTTCAGTACGATTTGATAGCACCCAACCCACCCCCAGCTTCATTCTTTGTGTTCAAAATTGTGTTGGTTATTCCTAGATCATTAAATTCCTTTCATAATCCTATGGATTTATTGATTAATTTGGGAAAGTGGAATCTTTACTTTTGAGTTTTCTTATCCCTGAATATGTTGTCTCTTGTTTATTCACTTTTTTTTTTTAATTCTTCAGAAAAGATTTTTACCTTTCCACATCAGGGTCCTGCACATTTTTTGTTAGCTTCATTTGACACTGTAGTTTTTGTTGGTGCTGTGTTTTTCCTTAGATTTTTGGTTTTTTTAATGTTTTGGATATATATGTGAGCTCATATCCAACATGTTGGTAAACCTGTTCTTACCTGTTATCTTTTTCCCTTTGAGTTTTCTCTGTAGAAAATCATGGCAGGTTTTCTTCTCTTCCTTAACAGTTTTTACATCTTATTTCCTCTTCTTATTTTAGTGGCAGTAACACTCTCTAAAGCAACACTGGATGGTAGAGGCAATAATGGGCATCCTTGTCTTTTTACTGACTTTAATTGAAATATTTCTAAAGTTTCATCGTAAGTTTGCTATGGTTTCTCTAACAGGTTAGATACTTCCCTTCTATTCCTAATGTGTGTTTTTTAAATAATCTTCCTTTTTTTCTTTTGTTTTGTTTTTCATTGTTTTCCGCATTATCTTTGTTATGCCTTCTGTTTTCTTGTTTCTGTAATAACATTGGAATTATTCTTTTAACTTCTTGAGCTAAGTAGTCAGCTCATTTATTTTCAATCTTTTTTTAAAAAAAATATTCATTATACTTGAAAGTATGCATACTGTATCATTCTATTTATGTGACATATTCTGGTTTGGCAAAGCTATAGGGGTGAAAAACAGATCAGTGGTTGCCTGGAGGTTCAGGGAAGGATTGATTAAGGGACCGTAGAATTTTTGTTGTGATGGAATTGATTCATATCTTGATTGTGCTGGTGGTTACATGTTCAGAACAGTAAAATAAAAAGGGTGAATTTTATTGTATGTAAATTATATACCCTTTTAAAAAAATCAAGTGGATACAAAAAATGTATATAAGATAATTCTACTTTTAAAAATGTGTATTGTTTTAAAAGGTTATGAGTTTTCTGTAAGGACTGCATTAGTTACATCCAGTGTGTTTTTATATGTACCACTTTAAAATGGGGAGGGAAAAATTTTTATTTTCATTGTTTTGAATTTTAATGTATTCAAGTGATTTGAGAATCAATGTAAGAACTATATAACTTACAAAGTAATATAACCAAGTAATGTTATTTAAGTAATATAACAAAGAAATATCAAGTAATATAAGAAAGGGATGCTCTCGGGGCGCCTGGGTGGCTTGGTCAGTTAAGTGTCTGTTTTTGGCTCAGGTCATGATCCCAGGGTCCTGTGATGAAGCCCTGCATTGGCCTCCTTGCTCACTGGGGAGCCTGCTTCTCCTCCAACTCCCCCTGCTTGTGTTCCCTCTCTCGCTGTTTCTCTCTCTGTCAAATAAATAAATAAAATCTTTAAAAAAAAAAGGATGCTCTCACCCCTTTTCTGATCTACCCCATTCCTCCCTACCCATTGTATGTGTCTTTCCATTGTTTTTCTCATACACACACAAATACACATATTTTTTCTCTTCCTTTTTTTTTAACATTTATTTATTTATTTGAGAGAGAGAGAGCAGGGGCCCCAGAGGGAGAGGGAGGGGGAGAGAATCTCAGGCAGACTCCCCACGGAGCAAGAATCCCGATGTGGGGCTTGATCTCACGACCCTGAAATCATGACCTGAGCCAAAATCCAGAGTCAGATGCTTAACAGACTGAGCCACCCAGGTGCCCCTTTTCTCTTCCTTTTAACACAAAAGTTAGCACATTTTAAACATTGTTCTAGATCTTCCTTCTCCACTTGATGTATTCTAAAAATCTTTCATGATCAGTACGTAGAAAACATCTTTGTTCTTTTTTTAAACATCTGTATAGTATTCCATTGTGTGGATGTATCATTGTTTATGTAAGTAATCCCTTATTGATCCCTTGGGTTATTTCTAATCGTTTGCTATTATAATGTTGTAGCTAATAACAATAAGATGTCTTACCATTTTAGACATATACGGCTGTGCCTAAAATAATTTCCAGGATCAAAATTACTGAGAAAAGAGTAAAGTATTTGTAATTTGTATAAGTATGTCCAAATTGCCCTCCAGAGAGCTGTTACCATTTCCTGTTCCACCATAAATGAATGAGAGAGGGAATTTGTTTTCTTAACTCTTTTTAGTTTTTATTACTGGAATATTTTAAAAGTAAATACAGGTATCTTGACTTTCTACTCCTAAATACATACTCCTAGAAATAGGAAAATTTTTTAAATTTTATTTTTAAGAGCCTTATTAAGGTATGACTTACCATAAAATTATTTCATTTTAATTGTAATTCAGTGATTTTTACTAAATTTACAGAGATCTGCATCCATCACCCAGTCAAATTTTAAAATAGTTCCATTACCCCAAAATGATTCTTTATCTCCATTTGCAGCCAGTTGCTTATTCTACCCCCAGGGAACCACTAACCTACTGTCTATAGATTTGCCTTTTCTGGATATTTCCCATTAATAGAGTCGCATATATATGGTTTTTTGTTTCATGCTTCTTTTACTTAGCTTAATGTTTTTTTAGGTTCATCCATGTTCTGAGTTCTTTTTTTTTTTTAAGATTCTATTTATTTATTTTGAAAAAGAGAGAGAACATAAGCAGGGGGAGGGGCAGAGGCAGAGGGAGAGAGAATCCCAATCAGACCCCATGCTGAGCATGGAGCCCAACACAGGGCTTAATCCCACAATCCCGAGATCGTGACCCGAGCCGAAATCAAGAGTCAAGACACTCAACCGACTGAGCCACCTGGGCACCCCCATGTTCTGAATTCTTGAAAACTGGTATGTTACAGCCTGTATCAGTACTTTGTTTCTTTTTGTAGCTGAATAGTATTCTGTTGTGTAGCTATACCACATTTATTTACCCAGTTAATAGCCTGTTGTAGCCTGTTAACATTATCACACCTAAACAGATTAATAATCGTCCTGGCATCACCTAATACTTAGGCTGTATTCAGATCTCTCCAGGATCCACTCCAGGACCATCCATTGCAATTTGTGTGTCCTTAAATCTTTTTTAATCTACAGCTCTCCCTTTTCTCATTAAAGACACCATGCTAGCTGACAGTCCTAGCTCTTGGCTTTCTTTGAATGTTGCTTGTGGTGTTCCTTAGCTTGTTCTTCTATTCTCTGTATTTTGTGTAAATTTTGATTAAATTCCAGTTAACATTTTTGGCTAGGATTCATCAGAGATAATATTGTCATTTCACACTGTATCATTTCCTTAGGAGGGAAACAGTATGTGTTTGTTCTCCCATTTATAATGCTCACATTGATAATTAGCACTCTGATTCCTCCAATGTAAAGTTTATATTGCTTCAGTTCCTTGTGAGTAGGACCTGAAATCATGACCTGAGCCAAAATCCAGAGTCAGATGGTGTTACTTTGATACCACACAGATGTCCAACTCCTTATTAATCTTCCCCTTGATGATTAAAACACTGATTAATAATCATTACCTGGATCCATAATTTCATGAGAAGTTGCAAAATTACAGTTTTCTTATTCTGTCATTCTACCTACATTTAAAATTGGCATTTTTCTATAAAGAGGAGTTTTCCCTCTTCAATTAGAGCTGTTTGTCTCCCCTGAACTATAGATCATTCTTTAAAGCAGAAAAAAATAAAAGCTTGTCTTCCCTGCCCCAAACCAACGGTTTTCAATTAAGGGCTTGATGTAATAGTACCTCACTGAAATGTAGCAAATTGATCTTATTCAGTTGCACATATTGTACACTTTCCAGTATGGTGTTCTCTTTAAATTTATGGATTAAACAGAAATTGTGTGTGTAAGGATGTTCAGTTTCCAAACAAGTTTTTTTTATGTGTTTTTCAAGTTATGTTTTTGTTATAATTATATTGTGGTCAAATAATTTGGCCTCTGTTAAATTGAGGTTTGTTTTTGTTTTTTTTCTTTAAGTAGTCTCTACACCCAGTGTGGGTCTTGAACTCCCAATCCTGAGATCCAGTTGCATGCTCTATCAACTGAGCTAGCCAGGCACTCCTGTTAAATTGAGTTTTAAAAATTGAAATGGCTTATATAACCTAACATCAATTTTTTAATAAATGTTTCATGTGCTTTTGAAATGACTATTACTATTCTATTAAACCAAATTTGTTAATATTATTTGAAACACGCATATCCTTATTTTTGGCCTGCTGACGTATTAGTTATTTAGGGGGATTTGTTAAAAACCTTCCATTAGGATTATAGATTTTTCCACTTGTACTCATACTTTTCACAGTTTGCTTTATATTTTTTGAGGCTATGTTATGTTTATATAGCGTCATGATTGTTAAATTTTCTTATTTGATGGCTGCTTTTATTAGTAGCAAAATCTTCTTGTCCTTTTTGAGTGCTGTTCATTTAAAATATGTGACATTAGTATTTAATTGCAACAGTCTTCTGATTGGCATTTTCCTGATATGTTTTCTTATTTACTAATTTTAAAACTTTTGTGTTGTTTTGTTTTAGGCATGTGTCTTATAAGCAGTATAATGGCAGAATTTTAAGCCAATTTGAGAATCTCTTGTCTTTTAGTAGGTGAGTTTATATTTACTCTGACAATACATTTATATTTACTTCTTTTTTTATTTTTTAAAACTTTTTATTTTATTTTTTTAGAGCAGGGTTGGGGGTAGGGGCAGAGGGAGAGGGAGAGAGAATCTCAAGCAGGATCCACACCCAGGGCAGAGCCTGATGCAGGGCTTCATCTCATGACCTTGAGATGATGACCTGAGCCAAAACCCAAGAGTCAGATGCCCAACCGACTAAGCCACCCAGGGGCTTCCATTTATATTTACTTCTGACATCTTTTGTGTTTTCTATTTGCCATGCATTTTCTCTGCTTTTTTTCTCTTGTCCTACCCCCTATTGATTTGATAGCTTGCTTTGTTTCTTTTATTTCTCAGTATGGAAGATACATAATCTGTACCTACTAATTCAGTGGTCCTTCTAAAGGTTAATGTATATTCTTAAATGAATTTTTTGCACAGTCTTAAAGTTTATCACTCTCTCCTTGTTCCTTCTGAATTAGGTAAGAATATTAACATATTTTAATTTTGTGAAAATCTTTTTTTACAGCAACCACGTCGTTTTTATATGGTATTTTAGTTTCACTTTTTCTGACCTCATTAAAAAGAATAATTTTTTCTTCTTCTTCTTTTCCCTCTCTCTTTTTGTTTTACTATCTATATTAGTTTTTACTATCTTTTAATTATCTCCCTGCTCCCATTTGTTTCTTTCATGCCATTCCTTCCTCCTGAGTTCATTTTTCTACATACTAAAATATATATTCCTTTGGTACTTTGAGCTAGAGTTTGTAGACTTTATAAGTCCTAGTCTGTTTGAAAGTGTCTTTATTTCATCTTCAATTCACTTGAAATCTCTAAAATTCATCCATAAGATAGGTACAGTAAAACCAACTGGCCCACTATATAGCATTATTGGGGGAAAACTAATAATATTTGTTGTGAACACTTCATAAATTTTTATATTTATCTGTGTGTATATATACATATATATATATAAAGTACTATTATTATTAGCTAATGTAAATCCTGTTAGATTTATATTAGAATTACTGTATTTTGAGTGGATTTTTAAAATCATTCCTTACTATGTTGAGGTAATATTCACTCAAATAAGAGAATATAATACCTAATAGAAATATCATGAATTGTACGTAGTCACACTTTGGGAGAAGAACAAGGATAAGATGAAACTCAGAATCCTGACTGCTAGCTTAGGGTTGCTACCACTCAGTGGAACTTTGAGATATGCAAGCATAAAATTAAATTTTTTGGCTTTGTTTTTATATATTTACAAAGACAATACATGAATAGCATGGAAAATCCAAATGATACAAAAAGAAAAATGAAAGAAGAAATCTTCCAGAAATCCCACAGAATAGAAACCATTGACATACTGGGACACGTCTTTCTAGAAATCTTGCTCAGCATATGTGACTCTATGGGTTTGTAGATAATTATCTTTTCATTTTTCAAAAGGACTCATAGCACATAAGCAGTTTTGCAACTGTACTTTTCATTTAGTAATATATCAAGGGAATATAGGTAATATAGTTTCATTGCATATAATGAATAAGTATATGCTCTTATATGGATGTGTCATAGTTTTGTTTAACCAGTTCTCTATTGGGAGGCATTTAAATCAAATTTTTTCATATTTTAAATTACAGTTGCCTGCTTATTTCTTTAGGATAAATTGCTAGCAGTGATATTGCTTGGTCAAAGGGTGTGCATGTTTAAAATTTTGATACTTGTTTTCAAATTTACCTCCAGAGTGCATGAGAATGCCTTTTCCCCTCACACATACTGAGTACTGTCATGTTTTTTTCCTTGAATTTGCTGGTTTGCGATTTTTGTCAATATTTTTGCTTATTTGTGAGTTTGAGTATCTTTTCTCATTTAATTGATCATTTGTAGTTCTCTTGAGAATTTCTCTTTTGGACATTAATTCTCTTGTAGTATTCATCTTGTTCTTAATTTGTATGAAGTCTTTTTTTAATTGGGTTTACAAATCTTTGTCATAAAATGTCAGGTGTTTTTTTTCCCAGTTTGTTTTTTATCTTTCAACCTTGTTTGTGCTTTTTATTGTTTTGTTTCTCCAGTTTTCTGTTTGTTTTTATTTTTTTGCTTTTCAATCTTGTTCAAGAAATTTTTGAACTAAATTATATTAGTTCCTTACAGTTGAGTAATTGAAAGGTCTTCCCCACTTCAAAACTATTAAAATATTCATCCATATTTTCTTTTAGTGCTTTGAAAGGTTCATTTTTTTCCCACTTGAGTCTTTAATCCATTGGAAACTTTTTTTGAATAAGGAGGGATATATGTCAGTGCCTCCCTGTTTTTCATGTCCTGCTCTGGTTTTCAAGCTTGCCTAGTAAAGACCAAGACAGGAACATAGTGAACCATGGCAGGAGGTGAGATTTGCCTCACTGTTTCTCTTCTCAGAGTCTATCAGTGTGCCCGGGGTATGTGCTCAGAGGGGAAGGGGGGGTTGGGAAGTAGTAGTCAGCAGTCGCATGCCGGGGTTACCTGCTGTGAATGCAGGTGTGGAACCCGGGATGGAAGAGAGGATACCAGCACAGTGTCTCTTAGAAGTTTTGTGTTTCGCTTATTTGAGTGACCACTGAGTTCTTACTCAGGGAAGTGAAACTGTGGTAGGGTGACCGAAGACACCAGGTGACGTGAGAACGACGTGAGAACTTAGATGTATGTTTTAAGCCTTGAACGCCAGGTGCTCTTTTTCCATGATGAAGCCATGGACTCTCTGAATTCTATGGGCTAGTGGTAACTTTTTTAACTTTTTATGACCTCTGATCCCCTGGCCCCTAGGTAAATGCTGTTAAGTTTCTTCTCTGTCTTATAGAAATTTCAAGCATTATTTTTGCTGCATACTACTGAATGTCCAGTTGGTGAAATTGAAGGTCTTTCACTCAGAAGAAATAAATCAAGAAGCAGGTAAGAAATAGAAATATATTTATGGCTTTGAAACCTATTTTCCTTTAAGTAGTAAGATTTCATAAAGATGATGATGATGATTATTTTTTTTTAGGATAACTCCTTTCACAATAAAAATCAATTTAGAGAACACAAACAGGAAAGAATAGCTGCCCAGGGAGGAACACAGCTGGTGATGACAGACCCTATTTACTGAACACTTACTGGCCAGCTACGTGTTTTGTACACATTATCCCCCGTTTACGCTGTCCTGACATCTTCAGGGCAGAGACGTGGAAACTGAGGCTCCAAAAGATAAAGAACATACCTGCTCGCCCTGTTTGTTGAAGGTCAGAGCTGGGGTGGGGACTGCGGTCTCTGCCTTTAGAGCCGCCTGCGTTGTGGGTAATCTAAAGTCTGTCCGGCCAGTCCTCGAAAAGACCTTTCCCCGTTTTTGGACTAGAGAGTTCTTCTTCTCCTTGCTGCTGCTTTATTTTCTTTGTGGGCCCACAAGCAGTAGACCTCACGACCACAGGCACATTTTCACTTTTAGAAACCATGGCTTCTAGAATGCACGTAAGATCACTTCTGTAATCAGATTTGCTGTTTTGAGTTCTTCCCATTATCGAAGAGTAACGGGGCCTTCGTTGCCTCTATGCAGTTATAAAGGTTGCTCCTCACACAAGATACTTTCTTTCTTTTTGTCCGAAATTTATTATAATGTGCTTATTTGTTAGAATGAGATGTAAAACTGGTGTAATGTACAGGCTGTTGTTGGCCGAGGTATAAATTGAACGCCCTGAGGTTGTGTAGTGTCCTGTAGCCAGATGAGGAGAAAATGTAGGAAGAGCTTAATTACTTCTCTAATCCTTTCTCTAGGTCTCTTCTGTTTCAGGTTTTTCCAGGAGCTGGCTATGTAAGGCTAGTAAGGGGGAGGCAGAAGGATGGAGTGGGATGGACAGACCTACCCTTTATCCTTATACAACTAGAAATAGCATAACAGACAAGTCTGTGTTCGTTGCACTCCTGCTGTAGGTCTCTCTCTGTCTTGCACTTTGACAGTTGTGAGAACAACTTTGCCACCAAGGTCATAGAATAATATGGAGAGGCAAGACACATACATGAAATACATCCATTGTATTGTGTGACTTAAAGTATAGAAAGCACTAGAGAAAGGAAAGATTACCGTGACCAGACTAGTCAGAGCAGGTAAGATATGGCCAGACAGAGAGGACCAGGGGTCCTGAGACCCTGTCAGCTTCCTAGTATGAAGAGGCAGAAGAGCTGTGTGTCCGGAGACCTAAGAGTGACCCAAAGTAGAAGCTTTGGGAGGCCAGCCTTCCCGTATAGTGACATTAATGTACGCCCCCCCCATAACAAATTCTGGCTTCCCAGAGTCCTCCCCCCAGATGACTGTGGGTGAAAGGGCACCATCAGGGCCTCCTCATCCTGCCCCCCAGGTTTTTGACCTGTCCTCCTTCTGAAGTCTCTTAGCATTTGATACAAACAGCCTGCCATGTTTCCCCGTTACCTTGGGCTTGCCGCCTTCTCCCGTCTCCTTTCTCTGGTCTTCTTAGTGCTTGGTGTGGTCTGTGGGTGGGAGGATCTAGGAAACTCTGTGTTTGTGTTTGTCCTTAGATCATGGTACCGGGAAAGCCCTGCGGGATCCTGAACTGTACACCAGCCTCGTCCTCGGGACCCAGCACAGAGCTGAGGCCACACTCACTGCGGGCCAAGGGCTCTGTGTCCCCTACCTCTGGTCCCGTCTCAGCAGGGGCTCTGTGTAAAAGCACTTGTTCTTGGAGGTTCCCTCCCAGGATTCTGATCTGGCGCGCGGTTTCTGACCAGATCAGAATGGGAAACACATGAACACTCCATACCAGGGACAGGCCTTTCATTTAAGCGCTTGCTGTCCAGACTGAGCCCTGAGTTCAGCCAGTGAGGTGAAGGGGAGCTGGGATGTGTTTGGGCAAGTAAAAGCTCTTTCACAGCCCTGAGCACTGGTTATCTTGTTTCTGTCCAGAGGACTTGCCCCTCAGGTGAGCAGCCTCTGCTTTCCTCACATCTGCCGTGAATAACTGTAGCTACTGGGTTTTCCTTGTTCCGAGTTTGTTAGAATCCACATCAGATCACATAGCTGAGAACGACCCTTGGTTTATTGGGACATGTCGCTGGTAATATCTCCTTGCATTAATTTCTTTACGTCTTTTCCATACCGGTGAAGGAAAAATGCAGCTTTTTGTTTTGGTTTTCACTGCAGGTTTATTTTTTAACCCCCGTTACTCATCTCTCTCTGTCCCTCTGGATATCCAGGACAGAATCAAATTTCAACAGTTATTTAAATCAAACAAAAAGTATTATTTTCCCCAAAGTAATGAAGGATATGTTTTTAACCTTGATCTTGGTGTAAAAAGCTAAAATGCACTCTTGACTGTTGGTATCCATTTGCTTATAGTTAAATGAAATTAAGGAGGCTCAGGTCAGGATTCTTGGTTTTGCTTGGGGGCTTTTATTGTCCTGACTCTTTCACTTTAAAACAAGGAGATAATCAGATATCATTTAATGATGTGTCTTGGGTGGTGCAGTACTAACCAGGTCTTTGATAAATCTTCCAGAACCTGAGGCTCGCGTGCTTCGGAGCTGCTGTGGATGGCCCTGGCTCTCTTGACCACCCTTCTGAGCAGAATGTCACTGAGATCCCTCAAATGGAGCCTCCTGCTGCTGTCCCTGCTGAGTTTCCTTGTGATGTGGTACCTCAGCCTGCCCCACTACAATGTGATAGAACGTGTAAACTGGATGTACTTCTATGAGTATGAGCCAATTTACAGACAAGACTTCCGCTTCACACTTCGAGAGCATTCAAACTGCTCTCATCAAAACCCATTTCTTGTCATCCTGGTGACCTCACACCCTTCAGACGTGAAAGCCAGACAGGCCGTTAGAGTTACTTGGGGTGAAAAAAAGTCTTGGTGGGGATATGAGGTTCTTACATTTTTCTTACTAGGCCAACAGGTCGAAAAGGAAGACAAAATGTTAGCATTGTCCTTAGAGGATGAACACCTTCTTTACGGTGACATAATACGACAGGATTTTTTAGACACGTATAATAATCTGACCTTGAAAACAATTATGGCATTCAGGTGGGTAACTGAGTTTTGCCCCAATGCCAAGTACATCATGAAGACAGACACTGATGTTTTCATCAATACTGGCAACTTAGTGAAGTACCTTTTAAATGTAAACCACTCAGAAAAGTTTTTCACAGGTTATCCTCTAATCGATAACTATTCCTATAGAGGATTTTACCAGAAAGCCCATATTTCATACCAAGAGTATCCCTTCAAGGTGTTTCCTCCCTACTGCAGTGGGTTGGGTTATATAATGTCCAGAGATTTGGTGCCAAGAATCTATGAAATGATGAGTCACGTAAAACCCATCAAGTTTGAAGATGTTTATGTTGGGATCTGTTTGAATTTATTAAAAGTGGACATCCATATTCCAGAAGACACAAACCTTTTCTTTTTATATAGGATCCATTTGGATGTCTGTCAACTCAGACGTGTGATTGCAGCACATGGCTTTTCTTCCAAGGAAATTATCACATTTTGGCAGGTTATGCTGAGGAATACCACATGCCATTATTAATTTGACAAAAGCCTAGAGAAAGACAGGATATTCTGTGGATAATATTAAAATTACTTTAAAATCGCCAATGGAAAACTCATGGGAAGGTCACTGTGTTGACTTACACTGAACTGAGACTCATGAAGTGCCCATGGACTGGGGACTGGAAGGTTACGCTTGTGAGTTATTTAGACAAAAATCAAGTCAGGCCCCTTAAAGGTGATAGTAAGAGGAATTAAACATCTTATAAAGGAAATGGGAGATTTTTGTTAATAAAGCTAATAGGACAAAATTATTTGAACATGCCATTCTAAAAACTAGAATGTGTTAAAAGGATTTCATTGGATTACAAGCTCATCAGTCCATAACAACAAAGCAATGTGGAGTTCTAGTCATTGAACAGAATAGTCAGGTAAAGGTTTTGTGTATATCTTACATGGGTTACCAGTTTTTAAAAATACATAGTTCTGTGTAAAAAAAACTAAAGTTATACTGAGCAAAATTTCATCCGTTTTGGTCATTCAGAAGGTACTTCAAAATGTTACAGCATTTCACAGTTACGAATTACTGTCTAATATTACGTAGGACTTTCTGATGTTTGAGTGTTATGGTTGTTTCAGTACTGTATAAAGAGAATAGTGAATCACCCTTTACATTTGAACTTTTCTCCGGCTACTTCACTGACGAGTTTATTGTTTGATAGCTCCATTAGTGTAAAGTTATTGGTCATTACTGCATATCAGTAATCTCCTGGACTTTGATAAATATCTTACGTGGTAATACGGAGAAGAATTAAAACAAGAAGATCTGAATTATTGTCTTGTTTTTAAAAATACAATTCCCAGTGTTTTTACATCACTACATCTGTCTCATTTTTCCACTTGAAAATTGGGAATAATATATAGAATGCCAGGCAGCATGTTTGCTTTTTTTGGAAAGGACTCTGAAGACAAAAAAAAAGAGAGAACCCGATGGCCAGGATATTATGACTGTTATTATGAATCTGTTCCATGTGTGTTCTCATTAACTGTCAATTTGAGAATAAAGAGGGAAAAAACACGCTGCTGCTATTGTTACTAGTTTCACATCAAAAGGAAAGCCTTAATGTGTGGTCGTAGATCATAACTGAATTCCATGTCATGTAGAAGCACATTTCTACATGTGCTTTGACCTACCGGTAGGTCAAAGAGGAAAACTCCTTGCCCCATATTCTTGGGGTTGTGCAATTTCCCATTGTGGCCGATATGGGACAAGTGATTCCTTTTTTCTGGAGGACAGGTTGGCAAAAGATCAAAGCCATTGGCAGAAAATATAAACTTGAAAATACGTAGTTAGCTCTAGTAACACTCAAATATTTATAATTCTATAAGAAATACTTAATTTCAATTAGACCTATTTTATTTTTCTAAACATATATTTATTTGAGAGGGGCGGAGGGCAGAGGGAGAAGAGAGAAAATCTTAAGCATGGACTCCCCGCTGAGCTCAGAGCCTGACTCAGGGCTGGATCCCACGACCCTGAGATCATGACCTGAGCTGAAATCAAGAGTTGGATGCTTAACTGACTGAGCCACCCAGGTGCCCCCAATTAGAACTATTTTAATGTGTGATTCTCTATAAGACCGTTATTTCCATTTTCCTGGTCTCAGACCTGGTAATCAGTTACAATAAAATCAATTAAATAGTCTATGGAATCAATCTATATGCCCTTGCTAATCCCCATTCATATAGGAGTCACTTTCTTTAAGACAGATGGTGGTTATTTTTGAGGTATGATTAGATTGGTTTTGTAGAAGTTTATATTGATGTTGGGGAAGCTAAGTCAAAGAATTTCTTAAGGAATTTTTAAAATAAAATTTCCCTTTAAAACAAAAATCACAACTGAAATGTGAATAATTGCTAAATTTCAGAAGATTGTTTCTTTTCAACTAGAAATTGGTGCCTAAAAGATCTCTAAAATGTTAAAATGATTATGAAAAACCAAAAGCTGGGTCATTATGCTTTTTGTTTTTAACTACATGTTTCTTAATAGTCTAAATTTTCAGGAGTAAATATCAGTCAGCTGTGTTATTAAAATCTTGGCCTCCTGATGTTTAACCAAATAGCATTTTTTATTTTAACTCATAACACAGTTTAATGCTGGAGGCTAACCTTAGGCAGATTCTCTCCCACCTGCCACAGCCCCACCATCCCCATGGCCTTACACACTGTGCCTCACTCATTCACTTTGCTTGCCCATAGCTTGGATTTGTGACTCCTAGCACATGAGCTTCTGCCAGATTATGCTGCAAGAATAACTCTCAAATCTCGGGTGACATCAGCCATGTTTTCTTTTCACGCACATCGCACACCACTGGTTGCTGGCATTGGCCACGACCTGCTGCTTCTATTCATCTCAGGATCCCCACTGTAGGGCACGCCCTATCTGGAACATGCCATTCTTACAGAGGGAAGGAAAGAAGAGCTGGCAAGACACATTGGCATATATGTATGCATATATCCACTGACCGAAGTAAATCCTGTGCCAAGTGCCAGTGGCGGGTGGGGGTAGTGTATTCTCACAGGAAATAGTGCAAGTCACGTGGTGGCAGGCAGGAGTGTGTTGTATAGGATGGAGTGCAGTAATTGAATCTGCCACGCCTAGTGTGTGAAAGGGAGAGGAGGCTCAGGGACCTGCAGTTCTGAGTCTGGCCTGAGTGGATCTGGAGTTTTCTGGCTCACTTGGAGCTGGTGTTTTGATCCCTTCCCCGAGCTGGCTACCCTTTCACCCCTGTTAATCTTTCCCGAGCTCCACCCTAAGTGTGCTGGGCATTATCGTGTTCCCCAGCAACTCAGCAGATGGCAGCCAGAGCTGAGCTGTTTGTAACAATAGTATTTCTGAGCATGAGGTTGGGGACAAAGCCCTTCTCTGTTGCAGTGTGGTAGGCAGTTGCGGGATGGAGGGAGAGCAAGAGGAGTTGGAAGGGGGCCAGATTTCAGTGGAGGGGGGTTGGTAAATATGTGGCAGGTCCATCCTGCCATCTTGGGGTTGTTCCATCCTTTAATCCACTGAGAATCTTTATGTTAAGCCAACTTCTCTGGATTTTATGTGAGCTGAAGACTAACTCTAATAGGGAATCCCCTCACACTCTCCATCAGCTCCTTGGTTGTCCCAGTGTGGTTAATAGGGGAGTAAACCTTCAAGGAGTCCATCAGAATAGATGGCACATGTTGATGGTGTTGGTAGGAGATGGATGTTAGCAAGGCCCTGAAAGCCAAGGGGAGATTTGGGTGGGCAGTCCCTTGACAGAATTTGTGCCCAAGGGAAGGGCCATCTCGTGGGTCTTGTAAGGACAAAGAAGGGCCCAACAAGGATAGATACCATCCCTCTGTATTTAAGGTAAGTGATGGAGGCACAAAACTTGGACTTAGTCTTTGAGTCCTGGGTATGGTCAACACAGCCAGGGGTAGTAGTTAATGGAGTCTACACAATTTTCAAAATTCCAAAAGCTGAGAAGAATCCATATGCTTACCTAAGATAAGGTCGCCCAAGCTAAGGAAAATGTTTCCATTGGCTAGAATTTAATCAGCTGAGACAGTAGCCATGATCAGCTTATACTTAACAGAAGCTTAAGTGGGGGTTAATTTTGTTTGATTAATAAAATGGAGAAACCAAGTTATAATTGAGTGCAGAGTCATGGATGATGGTTCATTGAGGGCAAAGGGATCTTTGCCAAGAAAAGGCTTGGGAACTCTTGTTCTCTGATACGAAGGCATGCAACTTGTCCAAGGTCATTGTCAAGCCAGGACTAGAATGTTCCAGGTCCAGCTACACTGTTCTTCCCTTGCTAACATCAAATTTGGTTGGAGCACATTCCTCAGTGGAAATGCAGAAATTTCTAAAAAGGATTACGCCTGACTCAGGGGTGAGAGGAACTTGGAGGTGCCAGGCTATAGTCTCCAAAGGATTTAAGGAAATGTGTGGCCACCAGGCATCTTGGGGAAGTCATGCAGGCTGCAGAGTAAGATGCCAGTGGGCAGTGGCCAGTCGAGCCAGGGACCAGTGCTGCCCCCAGAAGCATGACACGTTCCTGTAACCAGGCCCCAGCAAGAGAAGACGTCATATGAAGCTGGCTGCACAGGCATTTCAAAATAAATGTGTGTCCTCAGTGCATAGGGTTGGGGTGTTTGCTTATGGAAATGCTTGGGCTATGTAGAAGGCAGGGATGTCGATTTCAGGTTTCCAGAAGGGGGCAAGGGCCAAGACCAGGGAGATCGTTACAAATAGGACCTGGGTCTTTGTGCCACAGGCTTCTGCTTGTTTCTTACAATTTCAGTGAAGAGGCATCAGTTACCCAGGAGGAAAGAATACAGCAAAATATCTGTTGCAACCCTCAAGTCACCTGTCTTGGGGAATATATTAATTTGCAGTTTCAGACCCCAGTGCCGGAAACACTAAAATGGGTTCTCTTCTTCTTCAGGAAGCCTGAGCCAGGTTGCCTGGGTTTGAATTAAGACTTCTCTGATTACTAGCTCCGTGGTCGCTGGCAGATCACTACCTTTTTTGTGCCTCAGTTTCTTTACCTACAAAAAAGAGGAAATGACCTACCTCATAGGGTTGTTGGCACACGGTAAATGCTATATAACTATTGTTTTTTGTGTTGTTGATGAAAAGCTGCATTTGGACTTCTGAAATAGTAATTCAGAATTTTCATGGAGTGCCTACACTATGGTTAGAGTAATAATTGTAGGCCAACTGAATGTAACAGAGATGCTGCATGTCCCCTGAGGCTAGGTCAAAAGAAGCCTTACAGCTTGGCCTTGGTCTTTTGGAAATGATGTTTCTGTAAGAAGTCCCACTAAGAGCCCACCACACGAAGAAAAGCCAAGGTAGCCCTGTGCAAGGCTGGGTGGAGAGAGAAGAGATGCCCGGCCAGCTCCCATGCTCCTGCCAAGCCAGCTGAAGCACCAGACATGTGAGTAAAGAACTCATTTTGGAGTTGAGCCTTCAGACAACTCCAGCCCCAACTGTATAAGACCTCAAACGAGAGCCTCCCAACTGTCCCCATCAACCCACAGAACCAAGAGAAATCCTAAATTTTGCTTTAAGCTTTCAAGTTTTGCAGTGGTTTGTCATGCACAGATAATTAAAACATCTCTCCTCAAGAAAATTTCCCATCATCTGTAGCCCTCTGTTATGGACCGAAGGCTTGTGTCCCTCCAAAATTCGTATGTTGAAATCGAATTCCCATTGTGATGGTATTAGGGGGTTGGGCCTTTGGGGGGGTAATTGGGTCATGCGGGTAGAGCCTTCATGAATGGGATTAGTGCCCTTATAAGAAGAGGTCAGAAAGTTGGTCTCCCTTTTGCCACCATCTGAGGATGAACAAATCTGTCATCTGTAACTGGGAAGGGGCCCCCCACAGAACCCGACTGCTGCCCTCACTTTGGACTTGCAGCCTCCACAACTGTACCAAATACTTCGTTGTTTATAAGCCACTCAGTCTGTGGTACTTTGTTACAGCAATCCTCACAGACCCTCCTCAGGCCCCTGGCTAACCCTGCCCGCAACACATCTGGCCCTTTCTCCACAGTCGCGGGCCCTCACATCTGTTTTAGGTCATCAAAGAATAATTTAAAACATGTTTTTCAATTTAGTCCCCGTTATGTTTTACTGTTGCCTTTTAGACTGTGTGGCAGGTAGTGTGGAGGTGAGTGCCACTTCACGTTTCCCCCTGAAGGAAGCCCGCTCGAGACTTTTCCCAGATAAAAAGAAATCAACTTCCCTCAAGAAAAATTATGGCATTCTCTCGAAAGTTTGCAGCGGCTGAGGTGATGATTTTATTTTATTTGTTTAAAGATTTATTTATTTGAGAGAGAGCACGAGTCGGGTAAGGGCAGAGGGAGAGAATATCCAAGCAGACTCCCGATGCTGAGTCCGATGCCGGGGCTTGATCCCACAACCCCTGAGATCAGGACCTGAGCTGAAACCAAGAGTCGGATGCTCAACGCACTGAGCCACCCCGGCGCCTCTAAAGTGATGATTTTAAATGCTGCTCTTCTCCCCTCACAACA